ACAAGCTAAATGTGAGAATTGAGTTTCTGAAGGATATTGATAAATCCTTAGGTTCCTCGTTGGAAGGGAAATTTTTGAGACTGATGTTTTGGAGGAGAGCCATACCCCTTTTCTCTTAATCCAACTCTGGTTCTACCTACAAATGGAAACTAACGAAGTGTCTGATGTTCCACCATTTTTTGACCAACAAAAATGGCAATATAATATGGCCTAACCTAATGTTGACTGATCACTAACAGTGAACCCAGCTACTGCCTTGGAAAAAGGAAGGAGATGGGGGGGATGAACCCCTTTGATTCCTGCTGATTGCTGCTTCCATGAGAGGCAGTGGGATGTCATGTCAGAGACGGACCTGGGTCCAAACTCTGGCTCTATCAAGTATTCACATGGCTCTCTCTGGCTTCGTTCTCTCTCTCTTTCCTTTTCAGGGTTGTTGGATGTGAAATTAAGCAACTTGACTACAGTAAATTCTCTCCTTCCCCTCATCTACCCAGATTGGCACAATCTATGGTATCCCACAGTCAATTTATTATAAGATTAACAACCTGTGAAAATCAGTTGTACTTTGCATTCAAGTGCCTGGAGAGCTAGTTGCATTCTTAAAATCCCAAGAGGTTACCCGCAGACCTTAGTCTAGAAATAAAAATGAACCCACAAACAAGTTAACAAAAGAATCAACTTCATTGTTGAAATTCTGTGGCTTTCAATGCCAGTTTGTTAAGTTACATTCATTAAATACATTAACACATACAATATCTTATTCACAGAGATTAGAATTTACATAGTAGTGCCTGAAGACAGGGTGCATACCAGTTAAGTACATATCCGACAACATACAATATGCATTTTACCCTGGGGTTGTGAAGTTTTAACATAAAACATAAAACCAATGAAAGCACATAGGGCTTATCACTAAAACCACATGAACGCCTACATTTGTTCAATCTGTACACACTTGACACAAAAGAGGGGAAGTTTCATATTTTAATGGCTTTAAGCATAAAATCATTCGGTTAAGTTCAGCTTGTGGCACAGTGGTTAAGTGCTCGGCTGCTAGCCAAAAGGTCAGTGATTCACACTTATCAGCTGCTCTTCAGGAGAAAGATGTGGCAGTCTGTTGGTAAAGATTTACAGAGTTGGAAACCCTAAGGGGCGGTTCTCTTCCATCCTGTAGGGTTGCTATGAGTTGGAATCAACTTGGTGGCAATGGGTTTGTTTTTTTTTGGTAAGTTCAGCTACTTTATATGAATTGACATTATGTGTTTCCTTCCTCCTAAATGTATGTAGTACTAGGACAGTAGAACTTGTTATATTCCCTCTTGGATCTCTAGTATATAGGTAAATGCAGTCATACGACAGATGCTCAGAAAGGAACTGATTAATGGATAAAGTTGAAAGACCACTGAGCTTGGTGTCAGGAGATATGAATTCTAGTCCCAACACTACCATAGCTACTGTCTAGTACTGGGCCAGCTATGTCACCTCTCTGAGGCTGGGTTTCTTCATCCTTCAAATGATGTAACTTGGAGTAGACAAACTCTGAAGATCCTGCCAACTTTAAAATTCCATGACATTTTTCTACTGGCCAAGATCTCAGAGTCACTTCATGTTGGATACTCTCTGAGCAAGTGGGAAATGAAAGCCACTTCTAGGTTGGAAGCCACTGAACCCTTGACAAGGCCTGCCAGGTTCTTAACGATCAAGCAGAGCACATGGAAGTCAATTAAAAAATGGTCACATCATCATAGCTTTGGAAAAGACCTTAGAAATCCTTTGGCCTAACTTTTCCCCTTCACTTCAATGAAGGAATAACTTCTATAAAACCCCCAAGATAGGTCCTTTGCTTGAATATCTCCAGGGACTAGGAAATCACTGCCTGGTGAGATTCCTTTGGATAGAAAGTTCCTTTGGGTTTCAAGCCAGAAATGGTGACCCTCTAACTGCTAATCATTAGCCCTAGCTCTTTCCTCTGAGGGCACACGGAAGACATCTCCTACCCCTTCTTAGTTGCCCTATACTGAGCATCAGCCCAGATACTGCTCATGTCTTCCTTCTATATCTCCTCTAGTCATTTAAATAAATACTATTCGCTAAGTGTAGAGGGTAATTGAATGAGCCCAGGAGTATGATTCAGAAGGACAACATCCTAGCTCTGGATCTGTCAACTCATGGTTTGGCCCTGGACAAGTAACTTCTCCTGTCTGGGCTGGTATGGCCTTCTTAAAAAACAGGGTAATGGAAGGAGAGGGGTCAGAAAACATATCTCAGAGCTTGGGAGGTTGTAGATATGGTTGTTAGAGTTGGGCAGGACATGAATTTGGCTGTTCTGACCCACACTCTGAAATAGGGGTTAACAATCTATTCATTCTCCCCAGGCCCAGCTGCCAATGTGATGCAATAGCTATTAATATCCAGGATAATGATGTACACTTTTTCAAAAATTCTGTTAAAAAAACGGCAAAACATTTCCAGGACTCTGGACCCAAGGATAGCAAGAAACGTTGAGGCAAGAGACTTCTGCATGTGTTTTGCAAGGTGCAGAATATAAACAGTCCCATCCTGAGGACTTAATCCCCAATGTCACAATCATGGAAACATGATTGGGAAAGAACTTGGGAAATTACCTCGCAAGAGAGTATTGGCAGCTTACGTGCCTCAAGAACTGTGATAGACGAACTTTTATGATCCACAGCAGTTAATGATGAGCACAAAAGTGGAATTTCCTCTGGGTGACGTAGCTTAGATTGAAATGGGTCCAAGGGCTCTGACAAGCCCTGTTAGTGAGATAAGCCAGACAATTTTCAGGATGTAAAGAGTGTATCTTTTCCCATCCTACTACACCTTAGTAAAAAAGAATTAGAAATGTTAGTAGCTTGAACAATTCTGTTCTGTTAAATAGATCTAAACCATGCTAGGACAAAAATGCTAGTGACCCTATGCACTTTGGTCATGATTCCTGTATTTGCTGAGGAAGGCAGCTTTTCCAAATATCTTTATGGAATCTCTTGGTCAGCCATAAAGTACTAATACTTTCAAGGGTGTTGAAGACCAAAATGGGGTTCAGCAAGTAATAACCTCTCTCCACATGTGACTTAAATAAATAATGGATTCTACCTTAGAAAATGGTATCTTTATTTTTTTCCCCTTTTATTTGTGAAAAATTGTCCTTGAGTAGCTATTAAAAAAACCACTTATGGTAACCACAAATCATTTTGTTAGTGATCACCCTTCATCAAATGGCACCCATTTTCCTAATGAGAAAACATCCATGTGCCCAAAGTTAGCTAGTTAATTGGCTAATACAACTAAAATAAATAAAAAAATCTGCGGACCATGGAGGTGCTGAGCAGTCAGAATGAGACGTCTAAGACTAAAATTATTTCTGTATCCCCAGGGCGAGTAGGTACTTAGTAGCTGCTTCTCAGCCTTTTGAGACACATTTAACCGGTATTTCCCCCTAAATTAACTGTTTTCTAAAGTATACTCCTCCTTCCACCTCCCCTAAACTCTTAAATGCATACTGTTAATCCCTTTTAGTGGACATGTTCTTAAAAAGCATTCTCCCACCTTAGTTTTAAAAATAGTGCACTAATTTTTATCATGGAGATAATGCCTTGGAAACAGAAGTTCTGACTTGAGTCTTATTAGAAATGTCTGGCTGTGCCTTTCTGAGCATTGTAGAGAATTTTAAAAAATTAGCAGTGAAAACTTGAGCTAAAACACATTCTTAAATAAACTATGACAACAGCAAAATAAATATGTAGCAGGGAGCTTCTCAAAGCCTCAAGACTCTTAGAATGTTAAGAAATTCCTATTACTTGGATAAACTTCGAAATCCACCAGATTCCCCATGGAACAAGAGCAAGTCTGAAGGCCCCTGGCACAAGGGTTCCTTTTAGTGGAGGAGAAGATAGCAGCCCAGTTCAGCCTCTTAGTGTGCAAATCCTTTCCTGCACCCAGGGTCATGTCTACATAGGCCATGCCCAGCGTACCCAAGTGCAGAGAGAGCCTTTCATTTTCTTAAATGAGGTTTTAGTTGTGATCATGGAGCCAAACTACAATTATTGGTAAAACATTCCTGGTTTCCTGGTAAATATTATTCTAGGAGTTGGTTGACCAAATGCTCTGTTATCCAGCTAGTTTTCTAGTTACTGAGAAAATTTTCTGCTTTAAGAAAAGGGTAATTCCTCTGTCTGAGATAACCTTTCCTGGTGACCATCTGGTGTTTGCCCACCTCTTTCAGGACTCACTCAAGCTTCACTTCCTCTATGAAGACTCTTCCGAACCCCAGGTGGAGGTGACCCCCCCTCTTCTCTGTGTCCCAACTGTGCCCTGGACTGACTGTTTAAAGGAGCTGAAGTGAGAAAGAGGCCTGGTTTAAGTTAGCCTCGAGAGCTTAGGAATACCCTTAGAGCCTTAACCTCTGGAAGAAGCTGGAAATTAATTTTATTTAATTATAACTCAAAAAATATTGATTGAGTCCTGCTACGCCAGTCACTGCACTCAGGAGCCATATCACGCACCTCTCTGCCTCTATAGTCTCTTGGCAACAAGGTTAGGAGTGACTTCTGGGCCAAGGTCGCTTCCAGACCCATCTATGAGGTCTCCTATGATAATGAATATTTATAATAGAGGCCAAAGTTCTGGGGTTCACTCCCTACATCACGATGAAATGCTTGCAGATTCCACGGAATGCTTGAAGCTAACACATTTCATTTCCATGATTCTTGCTGCAACCTTGGGAAGCAAACTGCTGGAGGCCACGATTCCTGCTTTATAAGCAAGTCAGCAGAGGCTAAGAGAGCGGAAATGCCTCCCCCACCCTCAGGGCTGGAAAATCATACTAACTAGAGAATATAAACCCATTGAAGCATATGAAGGACCTTCTCAACGTCCAGACTTTCCAGGGAAGAGCCTTTGTCTGGGTTGATTAGCTAACCCCACACTTCAATTGCTTTGAATATTTTAAGGGAAAAATACCCACATGACACTCTGCGTATAAAGTTGGAAATCAAATCTGAAAGCAGATCTAAGTTAACTTTTTCAGATTGGGTGATTGACTTTTTTTTTTTTTCTCCCAGAGAATAAGTTCATGGTCGCCTAGAATCAATCAAATTTGTTTTATAGCTGTGTCATTAGCTCAAAATCTGTCTTCAAGTTTTCTGTGTGACCTAATCAGCTAGACATCTTACATAATCAAGAGAACTCCAGAAAGCTTATATAACAGTGTCAGATGATATTTTCTTAGGTTTTGGAGTTAATCCTTTGAATATGTTGAGTGATATTTGACCAGGAAGCATCTAGAGGTATTCATAAGGGTTTGGAGTAGAGTCTGTCTTGTTCTTCATAATATCCACAGCAGTTCCCAGCATATAACAGATGCTCAAGAAAACTGTGCTGAATAAATGCTATTGTTGTATTTTCAATATGCCTGTGGAACTCATACTTGCTTATTTTGATACCTGTGTCCATAAGAAAAGGAAAGGTAGCTTTTCTCACACGCCATATGTGGCATGAAAACCAATTTCTTTTTTTTGAGAAGGTTCCTGAGAAATACCAGCTCTCTTTTCACTTTTTAAGCAAGGCATGAAGGTATGTGCTTGGGGAAACCAATTAAGGATTTCACCTCTGAAGGTTTACACTGTTCTCTAGGGCTTTGAACTTTAAGATTCTTCAACTAAAGCAAATGCTTCAGGATCCAATCGGACAAATGGTCCAATGGTGACAAATGTGTAGTAGGAAGCCATGGAAATGTTCCTCTTCAGATCTTGACCCGAGTAAATCATACATCCATTCACGATCAGTGTTTTAATGTTTAGAAACTCGCCACTCCTCCAAGCCACCATGACAACGTGTCTGCTCTCTTCTGCCCTTTTCCAACTAGTATTCTCATTAATAAGGCATGTAAAGTGTGAATTTTTGGATCTTAAATTTCAAAGCTAAACGACTGCCTCTGTGGAATACCCCCGTGGCCTCAAGAAAACGCCTACATATGAATGAAGAAAAGGAACTAGGAGGCAGGGAACCTTCACACAATGACATCTGTCCTGCCCCTATAGCAAGAAGGCTCCGAAGAAGGTTTTATCTTCTTTCGTATAATCCACCAAGGAGATATCACTGACGTTCACCATCAGTTTATCTCCTTCTTGCAAGGAGAACACAGCCCCCAGGTAGATGGGTTGGAACCAGTTGCTGCCTAATTCACACACTGATTTGGTTCCTGTTAAGAGCTGGGTTGGCTCAGGGTAGCTGTCTGTTACCTTGGTGACGATCACGATGATGGAGTCTGGCTTGCTCGATTGTCTTCCTAGGCCGATTTCACCACACTCAGACATAGTCCCTCGGAATGTGACTTGTGAGTAAACAAAGTAGTCTCCTGACTCTGGGATAACCAGGAATTTATTGGTGTAGTTCATCCGGTTCTTGGTGAAGGCTAAGCCAAGTTCGTGCTCCCAATGCAGAGCTGGGAAATGATTTTTCAAGTTCTGTGTGGGAGTTTGTCTCACAACTGCAAAGACAAGAGAGAGGCTTAATTTGCTCATGTCAGAACCTGTGGACATTGCTAAAAAGAGACCCCTATCATTTTCAGGCAAGAGTAAAATGGCCAAATAAAACCAATAGCTAGGTGTCTTGGGGAAGAATGAGTGGAGGATATATGAGTGGACATACACTTCTGTTCAAAGAGAGCAGCATCTTGAGCTGGGTGACCTTGGGCAAATTACTTTGCCTCTCTGAACCTGAGTTTTCTTATTTTTTCATTAAAAAAAAATACCTGTGGAAAGGATTAAAAGAGATGATGTATGTAAAACATCTAGCTATTAGGAATAGCCTCTAAACTACATTCACTTTTATAACCTTTTCATTTTTAACGTGCTATGCTACAAAGAGAGGGTATTTCGGAGAGAGAGAGTCAAGTGTCCCCTATTATTCTATTCCAGTGCTATAGTCCAAAGCCTATGAAATGCAAGAGGTGATTAATAAAGAACCAGCATGCAGAACCAGAGATCTAGAATATTTTGGAAATGCTTCTCATACAGAGAAAAGGCCAAAATATAAGCCAATAGTTGCCTGTGGCGTGGAAGTGACTTGGGCTTGGGGTCACTTATGCCCAGTTCCAATCCTGGCTCTGCTACGCTAGCTCGTTGGTCAACTGTGTAGGTTCCTTCTCTTCTCGGAGCCTCAGTTTTCTCTGTCTGAACTGGGGATAAAGCTCCAACACAACATTTTTGTCACAATGGCTGGATACAGTTGCACTCAATAAATAATTATTTTTCCCCAAAGTAAACCATCAGCTTTCATTCTAAAGTATTAAAAAACAAGCCTATTTCAATTTATATGTTTAATATGTTCTTATGTTTGCATTATTCACAAGTACACATGATATAGAACCTATAAATGAATGCTTTTATGAAATATGTCTATAGCAGTGCAGGAAAAATGAATAGAATCAAATCATTGATTCACATCATAGATTTCAAATAACATATTCTGCAATAAAACTAATACTTCTCAGAAATCAAAAACATTTTAATTTCCTGCAACTACTTTTGAAATCCATACCAATTACCGTTATATACTGACAGTCACAGTTTTGGAGGTTGCGTTTAAAGAGACCAGGTAGGTGACCAGAAACGTGGTTCTTAGATTTTTTTTTTTTTTCTAAAGCTTAGTTCCCATTGCTGGTTGAACCTATGGTTTCGTTTGCAGCTGACACATATCCAGAATGTGTGTGGTCTCCTCTGGCCCCAGGAATAAATGACTTCTGGAGAGCTCTGGGGCTTTTTTGCAATATCTGTCAAAGGCACTTTTATTACTCACCCCTGAAAGTCTCTACTCCTTCTTTGTGGATGATACAGTGGATTAAAAAAAAATTCCTCCCAGGTGATGCAAAAGCTAAAGTCAATCTCTAGACCAGGAGTAGTTCTGTGAAGTTGTTATGCAATTAGCTAACTGCATAACAACTTACAGGTTTGGGTAGGAATTACGTTCTAATGGAAACCGTACAGTTGTGATAGTCAAGCTTGAATCTAAACTCTTATACTTCCTAGTCATGCGACTTGGGACAAGTGAATTTGGTTGCCTGAACCTCAGTTTTCCCATCCCTGGATGCAAATGACTAACCTCTGTTTCATTGGGCTGTTATGTGATTAAATGAGATCACTGATATAGAATGTTTACTACAATACCTGGCACATATTGGAAGCTCAGGAACAACTGGATCCCCTCCATTTCAACACCCACCACTTAACAGAAGAGGGATGGCATCTCCATACTCAGAATTAGTTATTTAGTGAAAATAAATCCTCAGAATTATTTTAGGATTTGCTTTTTCACCCTGTTTCAATCCCTCCCATTCTTATAGGTAAGTGGTGACTGATGGAGACTCTCAGCATATCCCTGATTTTCACTCAAGACACACCCCAAACAGTTCCCTTTGTGTCAAACATTAGGGCATATATCTTGGGCCAAAAGGCTGTTCCCCTTTGAGTTGCAAGTGTTCTTATAGGTCAGGAGAATATGTTTGTTTTTAACACTCTGGTTTTTCAAAAATTTTTTTTTCTTTAATGCATCTTTCTGCACTGTGGTGCTTTTTCCACCGGAGGCTCAAGGCCTGTGAAACTCCAGGAATTTCTACACTAGACTTGGGAAGCTGGACAACTAATGATATTGTGAGATTCCTCTTAATTTCTTCATATAAGTGAAAACTCTGTGGAAATACCTTCTTGAACGTAAATGTCCAATAACTTCTTCTTGAATAGGGCATAGATAGAGCTCATACATTGGCAACTCATGGCATCTTTCACCTGTGACTATATTCAGAATTATTTGAAGCTCTGAGTCTGAGGAAAGCCATTTCTGAATGATTGAGTATGTGAGTGAAAGAGAGAGAGAGAGAAAGAAAGAGGACTCATAGAATCTGAAAGAAAACACCCAAGAGACATGAGACTTTGGGCCCTTTACAGGGAGGAAAACATCTGAAAGCCCTTGACTGAGAGGAGGAGTCTGTTACCAAATGGTGTTGTTTCCAGTGTGAAGCCACTAGAATGAGTTTTGGTAAATTGTCTGAATGAAATCTTGGGACTGCGGCCCATGGTCTTCTGGAAAACACATCAAGGATAGTTACCTGTCAGGTGTGCCCTCGGCTTAGCTCCATCAGTTCTGGGAGGTGTGTCTGTAATGAAAGGAGAAACATGCTTTGTATTGGTCAAAAGGTGACTTGCATGAAGACAGCCCTTTGGGAGCTGCATGGAACCGGTGATGGGAGAGAAATATTCCCCTCCTTCAGCTTGTGCAGTTCCATTCCTTGGGGGTTTTTGGATTGGAATGTGGTGTTTGCAAGCACCCCTGGGAACAAGGGGAGGCTCAGGGGCCAGAGTCTTGAATGAAAATGAGTCTTGGCCACATGACTTTGGGCAAGTTAACTACCCGTCTGAGACTCTGTTTTCTCATCTCTGAGATGGGCACAGCAATCCCTACCATGGATGGAGAGTGCTCAGCATGATTCCTGGCACGTGGTCAGTACTGAGTAAATAATGGCTTGCCTCTCCTTTTCTTTTTTAGCCATCTGCTTCTGCTGGTCCTGTGGGGACTAATTAGCCTTGTGTCTTCTTCATGGTTCCTTTAACTATATCCACTGATGCATATGGATGGCTTAAGAGAACTGGGATGGGAAATGAGTGGGAACTAATCTGTAGCTATATGATGTTGGCAGGTCCCTTTCTGTCTCTGAGCCTCTGTTTCCCCATAATTACTCTAGAAGACCTTAGAATTTCCTTTTTGTTCTCAAAGATGATTCTATTAGATAAGCGCATTCTAAAGATGTTGATGATGATTATTCCGGTAAAAAGCAAAAAGTCATTGAGTACTTTTGACCTGCTAGACACTGTTCTAAACCCTTTATAGGAATTAACTCATTTAATTGACACCTGGTGGCACAGTGGTTAAGAGCTCGGCTGCTAACCAAAAGGTCAGCAGTTTGAACTCACCAGCTGCTCCTTGGAAACCGTATGAGGCAGTTCTACTATATCCTGTAGGGTAGTTATGAGTCAGAATGGAGTTGATGGCAATGGGTTTGGTTTCTTTTTTTTTTTTTTTTAAACCCTATTGGTTAGGTACTATTAAATCCATTTTTATAGGTAAGGAAACTGAGACACAGATAGGTGAATTTATTTGCCCAAGGTAGCATTGTAAGTAAATTCTAGAGCTGGGGTTTGAGCTCAGGCCGTCAGTCCCACACACCATGTACTTGACCATGGAGTCTTTTGCCTTCTCGGTGCCTGGGGAGGAGCTTTGCTTCTCCTCTGGGTTGGCATCCCTCAGCTTAGCAACTTGGTAATTTAAGACCCACCTTTGAACTTCCTGCATATCAGAACTCCTAGAAATGTTCTCGTTCCCCATAAGAAAAGGCATTAAAGATCAATACACTTACAAGCTTGCTGATGTGATGGTCCAAACTCTTGTCCCTCTGGAGTCTGTTGGGAAAGACAGATATGTGTCATCTCAACCCCAACACCCACACAGCTACCCATAGCACAGGCATAATTAAGATGCTGCTGCTACCCAGCCTGGGTGCCCTGAGATGAGAGAAATGGCAATGCAAATATTTTGATTGATGGGAATCTTGCACCCACACTTTTCTTCCTTCCTCTTCCAGTAACTTCAATGACCTTTCTCTCTCTTATGCTTGTCTCTGAAGCGTAACTTTAAAACTCTGTCCAGTGAACTTCTCTTGTTCTATTCTGGGGAACTCTGGCATCTTGTCATTGCTTCTATTATTTGAACAAGTAATGACACTTGCTTTATTTTCTTTTCTACTCTCACAATTTAAAAATTGGAATTATTTTTAAAAAATGATACTAAAAAAAGAGATGATGGTCATGTTCTCCTGATCAACCTTAACAATTCTTCCTTATTTCCACGTGATACATGAAGACTTTATTATTGCAATCCTAGTTTGTGAACCACTTCAAATACCACATGTGGAAAAATACCTGCTTTGGAGGCCGACAGACCTGAACTTGAATCCTGGTTCCACCATTTATTAACTGTATGGTCTTGAGCCAGATACTTTTCCTCTCTGAGCTTTAGTTTTCTCATTTCTAAAGTGGAAATAATAACATCCCTTGCCCTAAATCACTCCCAGTATTAAGTTGAAGATCAAATCATAAAATGTATGAATCAGTGCAAAGAATGCAGGAAAAATGAAGAAACTTACCGCTCGCATGCCTAAATATAAAGCTCAAGAGTAAAACTAAGTTCTTACTTTAGGAATAAAGTTACCATTTTAGATTTTACAATGTTTCCAAAAAACCTTCTCTGGTGTAATTTTGAATCAACTCATTTGGTCCTGGTAACTAAACAATTGCCACTAACAAAGCCACTCTTATGTCACCATGATCACTTGATCAGTTCCATACCTTAAAACGCGCGTGCGCGCGTGTGTGTGTGAGAGACAGAGAGAGAGAGAGAGAGAGAGAAAGAGAGACTACTTGTGAATGAGGAACAGTGTGTCTGTGTGAATATAAGAGAAGACAACTCTGTCAGTGGGAGAGAGTGTGAACTGATATGCTTTTGCATGTGTGTATCTACATGTGTGTGTGGTATGGTGTGGTTTGCAGGGATGTCTCCCCATATGTATGTGTGGTCCTGTGGGTGTGACTGTGTCATTGTTGATAGTGAGTAGGAGAGAGCAGGTCCGTGAGTAATAGTGATCTTGTGAGAGCCCAAACCTCCAGGCTCTTTGTACTCTCAAACCACACTACCTAACCTCTACTGGAAACTCACTTGAGGGCAGACATTTTGGCTTTAAACAATCAATTGACTTCAGTGTCTCTCCAGCTCATTTCCCTGTTTCTTAACTCTCTTAACTGCACCACTACAACTTCTGCTTAGTTTCCAGACATTAAATCTGTGTCATTTTCTTCCACACACCTAAGGATTGTCATTGCTATTTCTACAATTTTTTTTCTCATCTGTGCTTCTATTCCAGGCCCCAGCATTTGCTTGGATTCTTCCAACAGCCTCCTAACAGGTCTTTCTGCCTCTGGTTTCTCCCGTTCTTGGATCCATTTCCTAGCCTGCCTCCAGAGGATTTTGTTTAAAGCATCACCGTATCGAGACAGCTCTGCCTCAAAACCTTCAGTGGCTCCCCATGGCCTTCTAGACACAGTCTCAAATACTTATTTTGGCATTTAGGTTCCAGTTTGCCATTCCAGTCTTGTTACCCATTATGTACTCTTCTCCAGGCTCCCTGTGCTCCAGCCATAAGAGACAACCACAGTGACTGATTCAAGGGACCTGAAAAATGCAGTCAGTGTAGCCACTGTTTACTGAATAGGCAGCAACACCCTGCTAAGCTCTTCACATGCATTACCTCCTTCTGCTTTGCAACAACTCTTTAAGGTGGATGCTGTTCATAACCTCATATTGAAAATCAGCCTAAGGCAGGTTAAATAACTTGCCCAGTGTCTCACACATAGAAGGTGGAGGAGCAGGATTTTAACCCAGGCCAGTTGATTCCAGAATCCCAAGCTCTAAACCAGTACAGCCTACAGCTTCTGGATGAGTTTCTCATCTGGATAAGTTCCATGTACTGTGACAGAGAGGCAAGTACAGAAAGCAGAGGACGTGGACCTAGCCCAGAAGTGGGGCAATCAGGGGAATTTACCCCTAACTGGTCTTACAGGTATTAGTCAGGTGATAAAAGGGGTAATGACCATTCCAGACAAGGTCAACAATTTATGCAAGCGAAAGGAGGCTCAACAGAGCGTGGGGGCAGTTGGGAAACTGTAAGGATTTCTGCTGGCCAAATGAATACATTACGTACATGTAGCATAGTACAATGGTCTTTGGAAACCTAAACCCAGTTGATGTGACTTTGATGGGTCTCTGGGGTGAAGAAGCAGCCCAGAAATGAGCTTACTCTGTATCTTGTTTCCTTACTTGCTATTGACAGAGACAATAAAGGAACTGATCCTTTGGCAAGGTGGGAAACTGCAGGTAGGATTCTCAAAGAGCTTTAGGAAGAGCTTAACTGCATTCCCTTGTGTAAGAAAGGGTACCTACCCTGCTCAGAGGCCTCTTGAACATTCTGTTTATCTTTGGCTAAGCAGAAACTCAACTAAGAGTTTGGGGTATTCCTTCTTGACTCACAGACCCCTTTGTAATTAGCATGTATCCGGGATGTGAAAACATTTTCCTTATTTGTTCTGCTGGATTTCTGTAAGTCGAGTACATATTTTATTTCATATATGGATGGATATGTATAGATCTGAGTGGCCCAGAATGCCATAAACACTTGGAGACTATGACAGCACTAGCTGGCAAGTGTGGAAGACCTCAACATTCCAAGAATTCACAAGAAGAACGTTAGTTGGGGCTCCCACTTCAAGAACAACATGTACAGCTCTACACTGCTGCTTCTGTTAGTAATGACTTTGTCCATTATGGAAGGAGACTGTTGTGGTGACCGGAAGAGGGGATGAGTGAGGATATTTGAGATGATGAAATAGTAGCTTATTTGGGAAAGGTTTGCGTATTTGAGCTGGCTCAATGCCTGCCCTCAAGATGGTTGGTGACAACACCAGTCCATCCAGTAAAACACCCTCCTGTTCTTTAACACCAACTCATCTTCATCGCTTCTGGGTTACTCTGAGGCATCAAGAAGACTATGGCTCCCTGAAGGGTGCTAGACACTGCAACATCAGCACCCAAATTGAATAGACGTGGGGCCCAAAAGCACCCCAGAAAAATGAGATTTATTTCTCCTTAAATGTCTTCTTAAACCACTGGCTGAGAACCAGGATCCTTTTTATTCCCCTGAGCATTATTACTCCCTGAAGCGATATTACTTACTTGTGTGTCTATTGCTTTTCTCTCCCTAGTAGAATTCAAGCTTCATGCAGGCAGAAAACTGGGCTGTCTGTCTAGCTTACCACTGTATTCCTGGCGCCTTGGACTGTGCCTGGTACTTCTGCTGGATTTCCCAACTGGCAAACTATGCAGATGCTCAGGCACCAGAAAGACAGAGTTAGAAAAGACAGCATGATGAAATGAAGGTCAGCGTCGGTGACTTTAGCCAGAGTTTTGCAATTCGAAAATTTAGGAAAGATATCTTTTTATTTTATTTAGAATACATGCAAAGTTTTGAGTGTTTGTTTAAACAGAAAAAAATTTAACTACACAGAGTTGGTTAGTCATAATCTTTCAGTACTGGAAACTCTGAAGTTCTTCATTAGGCTCTGCTTAGAGCATACTCACAGACCTAGAAATATTTGTTGAAAGGTACAAGGCTCGGCCAGGAGCCAGAGCGAAAAACGGCAAATGAGTATGACCATCAGCATACATCTGGGTGGTATACTTGGTACTATCAGGATTTATGAGCCCAAGCACAGCAAGTGGGTGATTTTTGACTCTTAGTTCCTGAAAGGCAGGGGATTTACACTTACACTTTCATTTAATTCTCTTTCTTTTCTCACTTTTTTTTTAATATGTTGGCTGGTAATCCTTGACTCAAAATACCCATGACCTAATCCTTGCAGGCATTTTTGGAAATACTCCAATTCTTCAAACTGGGAAGGATGAAGGATGGAGGGAAGGAGGAGACTAATATTTAACTGAATGTTCACCAGGGGCCAGATACTGTATTGGACATTTATGTGTGTTTCTCGTACAGTCCTTCAAGGAGGGGTCAGCCTCACCTTTTTTGCAGCTCTTTTAAGCCTATAACTGGGGTTTAAAGAGGTCAAGCTACTGTTCAAGGTCAAAGAGTAAATGGAGAGTCTGGGGTCTGAAACTTTAGGCCAAGTACAGACCCTGAGGCATATCAGGAACTCCATAAACATTGGCTGAATGCTCAATGAATGAAGGAGCTGAAGTGAGGCAGTCTTTGAGATTCTCTTATTGGCATTTCACCAGAAAAATCTCCTGAGTTTATTTTAACTAATGACCCACTTAGCCTTTCCTCCCATGTTTTGTAGTCGCTCTCTAGTACATTCATAAACAGGAAGAGACATTCATTACTTTCAGTCATAAATGTTGCAGTTGCAAAGGCATAAACGTTTTATGACCCATAACATTGTCCCAGCACTTCTAGAAGAAATACACAGATTTTGACCTCATCTCTCTTGTGCCTACATGTTTGTACTTGCGTAAGGATAAACTCAAGTTAGAAATGCTTTATTCTGAGGCCACTTCATTTCATCCTCCTCCAAGGTGCCCTGGACAGGGCTTTATTGTGCAACGTTCAGCATGTCACTGAGCAAAGAATGCAGTCTTGTCAATCTAGCAAATTTGGAAGTCGCAGCTCTGTGATTTCCTTGCTTTCTGACTTTTGCACATCACCTGACCTCAGTGAGACTAGTTTCCTTATCAATAAAAGCAGACAAGAATTCTTCCCTCCCAGGACTATTGTGATGCCTGAGAAAGACCATGTACGTAATGTGGGTATCCCATTTATTTCCCTTCTTTCTTT